GATTAGCAGGGTTGGAGAGGGAAGAATAACATGGAATCGATAATTTCAAGAGAGGAATGATGCTTATGTTAACCGCGATTCGTATTCTGGTTTTGCATTAGTTGAGGTTTGCAGTTACTTTGATGGATGTTTTCAAGACTAAGCTGGAGAACAATATTACCAAACGAATAGACGACCTTTCACATCCTAGAAGCAACCTGCTAGTGATATCGTGTTCAACTGATAACAAGACGGATTTCTCCAGACTTCTCATTGCGTAAAAGCCCGTATAGCTAACTATACAGTTGACTTTGCAAAAGTAAAAGGATGAGCAAGTGGCATTCCCGAACGTTTTTCACAGCAAACTTTCGTATTGTGTTGGTGCCCAAGGTGAGCTTGTGGTTCCAACTCCAAATTAAATCACCGGTATTCATAATATTTTTTTGTGTGTAGTCATTTATTTGTTCCTATGAGAACATATACCGCCCGCATGACCAGGCCTTTGAGCAAGTTCACGAGTAACGCGCGCCTTGGTTGAACACTGAACTGACCGGATCCACTAACCGTGTTATCGTTTCGCGTCTAGTGGGATCAAATCACGCGGTTGCTGTAGCCGGGGCAGTTCGTTCACTATCGTCCATTACAAACAGCATTTTTGTAATCCGACCACGACGCCTTTGTTCTCAAGAACAACTCGTAGGAATGGACCCGATCGTCCGCCTTCGTAACCCGAAAACATGTACATGTATATGTGATGACCACCGCAACCAGTGCAACTTTTAGTCTGTAGTCAATCCTCATTTCACAGAACACTATGATCAAAATTAAAATGAATCAGTCAGTGAATGAATCGACGAAAATGACCTGGTAGGATACTGTTTTTCTTTCAATCTCTGACAAAAGTATATTCGAAAGTCCGTTGGCAGTTCATTGAATCAAGTTTGGTTAAGGTCGGAAAAACGATACAAAAGAGGGACACAGAAGATGGTTATGCAAAATATTTGTGTAAAATAAGGATTAAGCACTATATTAGGGCCGATAAAACAGCAGCCTATGAATGCGGTTTTGGCGGAAACTGAAACGTATTGTAAACGAGTGAAATGCGTTCAACGTAGTTATTCAATAAGTCCACAGTAAATAAACGATAATTGTACAAGAAAACTTGTGATAGCGAAGCCGGAGCGAAGTGCGGTGTGCCAGTGTTGCCGGATACCAAAAACACATAAAACCGGGGTAAAAACTCAAGCAAACTGTTGTTATGAATGGGAGTGACTAACAAGCGATACATAATTGATTCTAAATCAATAATAGTACCATCCCAATTGGAATACTAAAGAGGCGATGGTAACACAGTTGAGGAGCCAAACGATCACCAGAATTCAACGGAGGGACACCAATGAGAAATCGACTGTATTCTATGACAATTCGAACGGACAGAGCTTACCAAAAATATTCTATGGGCCAGGGAATCATACGGCCATTTGGATCCGGTAAGCAGGTGCATACAAGTCTCGGCCGGATATCGTGCAAGAAATCGTACCAGAGGAAGCCTGAGAGGGCTAGTCGGTTCAATATTAAGCGAACGCTCAGCCCGGACCACGAGGTCAATTAAAGAGGACACGTGTTTGGCAGTGGCCAGCGGAATCATATGAAACAGATCCATCAGGACAGCGCATAATTCCAGATTCTGAAAATGGAAATTCAGCAAAATATTCACATTTTAAAAAGAGAACGAAAACTCTAACTGCACAGGGGTGTATGCTTTGAGGTCTACTTATATTACAACGATAAGGAAGCAGCGACTGTGTAAAACATAATGGTGACAAGTACGGACGGTGAAAACAAATGTGTTCAATTATCCCGTTTACACTATGATATAAATGATCTAGAAAATCCGCGCTTTCTTCACATCATTTGATGTCATTTATTCGCCACAGTGACTACAAATGTGATGCGATGCGGTTAGCAGCTCTATGGCATGTCCAACTACTTTTTTTAAATTATGGATGACTGTCGACAAATAGATATCTATTGGACAGCGCTTACTGCACTGCAGCAATGCAAACTCCGATCAACATAATTCGTTTCGTTCAGTTTTAAAAGTATCAAGTTAGTGAGTCGCAGTTGGAAATTAGATTGTTCTCTATCACAAGGTGAAACCGACCAAGACAATATTACAGGACAATTTGTGAACCTGAGCGCAAACCACTGAGTACGGACGTGATGTGGATTGCTTGCATGCCCGAGCAGCACTGTTTGTTCAAATTGGTAAACGTCGTCTTCCAAAGATCCTAAGTAGACATTATATTAGGTCCCGAACCAGGCAATCTGACTTTAAAATTGCGATATAGTCTGAGTGTATTTGGTTGAAAACAATCTCAGAAGCACATGATGGACTTCGTGATTCCTGCTGCCCATCGGTTTATACGTAAAATATAACCAATTGTAATTTCACCATGATACTGGTACTCCCGATGCGAATTGGGTCACAATCTCCCCAACTGGCTCAACACCCATGCGAGCGGGGCCTTATGTGATCCGCCACTTCAAGTAACGGGGTTCAGATTGCCGGTTCCCACGACTGTACAGTAGGTTCTTGAGATTATGGGGGTTACATCGTCTGTTGTTCATCACAAAATAGTGTGTAATAAAACGTGAAACCTTATGAGGTTTTTTCGGGAGGACAGAACCCGAAGAACCATCAGGATCGTTCCATAGTAACGTTTCATGGATTGAATGCATCTAACTTTCGGAACACTCAGATCTAACATTGGTTTTCGGACAAAATAACAGATACGGCAGGCGAAAGTTGTCGGAGTGCACATATCGCCAGCTCATAATTTCGCCGCTGTTTCAGAACGGGGATAAGTCATGAATGATGTCACCGAGGAGAAACCAGCAATACAAATTAGGAAAATTGTCCATCTCCGAAATTTTAAGAGCCTCACACGCAAGCAAACTTACCGAGGGAGTCAGTGTGGAGATCGAAGAAATATTCTGCTGGTTTGGTAGATTATCGACCAACGCGGTCAGATGAGACTGAAATAGAGAGAGGATGGAAGTATGTTTGAACATGATGGAGTAAACCAAGCGGCACACCGTCAACAGGATACTCGAAGAATCAAATTTACGTGTAACATGCATCCAGTTCAAGTCTTCGTATGGGCATTTTATTCAAATTATATTTTCTAGGTAGTACAAAAAAGCAGAAAAAGTGAGACAAAGAGCACAATCTTCTATAATCAACAACCGAAAAGCACTTACATAGATCGCATCACACAGTCGCTCGCTGAACGTGCTGGGGAACAACTGGGCACAGTAGGACAGTTGACGAGCAGTATTTAAACGTAGGTTGGTTGTTTGACGAACATTCTGAAGAATAGGCTTCACATTCGCGTGACGCAATTCAATGTCTATCGAAGTGTGATTGACGAACTCTTTCAGACAGACGAAAGCAGCTTCATGTATAGCTTCTTGTTCCGAACAGATACCTGAGTAGAGGGAGATAGCACATGTGAGACGAAATACTTCATGTTAGTCCAAGGATTCAGAACAACACAATCAGCCATGAAATAGAATACATTTAAGGGCACATCCAACAATTGTGCAATAGTAAATTGGTCACCAGCGCGCTTTCCCCGTGAGATCCGAGGTTTCCGCCCAACCAGCGTCACCGCCACTGCCACCGAACTTTGATGGCAGGCAGCTTTACTATAGTCCGGTTTGATGCTAAGCTTATCTTAATGGGGCTTCATGTGATTTGCCATAGTCCCCAGACCAACTATAATGAATAAACACTAGGGTCCGATCACTACCTTGTTCACCAAATCCGATGTTCATGACATAATGGTGTGTAATACAGATTCTCTAGGACTCAGTGATCTAATCCTCGTTGTGGCAAATGACATGAAGCAGTTACTCTACTGAATCTGATAAACAAGAGCAGACGTCAAGTTTTGAATGGTACTTCAAAGTTGGACAGTTTACGTTTCTAAAGGAGAGAGAGGTATCAGCTATTTGTATTTTTCGGTCAAATTCACCAATGGCACAAGTCATAAGATATGCTAATAATGAAAGACCTGAACAGTATTGGTTGGTGGGATGAGCTAGAAAAAAGGAACGGTGCAGGATTCTACACTAGTTGTTCTCTTCAGTCCAGGGTGACATGATATGAATATTGTAATAAGTTGCGAATAGCTGACCAATGGACTATTTGCCTTTAGTGTTACCTAAATATTTCAGTAAAAACCAGTTAATGGGTAAAGAGTGTCCTTAGATAAAAGAATAGGTGAAATTTGATTTCGCACATTTTCCTGGACATTATACTATACTCACCTTTAAATAACGTAGATAAATTCTGAAGCTTTTGTGCAGTGAGATAGTGGGTCAACGACAAGACACGACAGGCAGCCACGCGCAAATCAATCGATTTGAGTCTATGAACAGCAGGCGGACCGCTTGATCGTGCACCAAGACTCGCAGATCTTGTTCCAGTTGTGGAAACGGAGGTTCCACCAGTAGCCGTACTCTGGCCGGGTGTGGATGACACCGCAGTCGAAGTTGGTGTTGATGCGCTACCGGTGAAATTAGCATTCATTTCAGCCGTCGTCGATGACGAAGAGATTTGATTGCTCGCGTCCGCTTGGGTCAGAATGGCGCGAACATCGATTAGGAACAACCGATCGGCTTTCCTGGACACATCGTATCGAAGAAGTTCTGCTCCACCAGATTGCAAATCAGTCGGACCAGAAGTGGTTGTATTGCCCGAGTTTGCTGGGGTTCGCGATTTCCCGCGACCGTTTTCCGACTGCCCGAAGAAGTAGTTTGCTTCCTGATTAACCGATCGATGTTAGATTAGGAAATAAACTGGATTTGATTAGAAATTTTGAAAAGTTCTTAAATGCTATTTGTAACAAACAAATTGCATAAACGCTTCATGACTACTCGGTATCCGGTGGTTTACTTAAAGGTGGATATTATTTTGAATAGTACTGAAATTTAAGTGTAACGATAAGGGGAATATCAACTATCAAGTGAAACCATACTCCTATAAGAGTGGTGTGTGAGGATAAACAACGCAACTTGGGTCATTTGAACTCTTGCAATATTTAAGATGATGGAAATCTAAATTCATTCTTCTTTTATTACAATTTATGCCCAATTCAGGATGTTTTATCGGTATTTCTGAACGGATAATGTCCGTTTTCGTTCATTCACATCTGGTTTAAGATAAACGAAACACAGCGCGATTAAGTTCAACGAAAAATCGGTTCACATACCACGCATCGCCGGGAACGAGTGGAGTGAACTGACTAAGAACACAATCGAAAATTTCCATTTTTTGTTCTTAACAGATGAATGAAGCAATTATACCGATCATGCCTAATGTGAAAGCACGTACGAGGACAACCAATTGTGTGGAAATCGGAAGATCAGGCAAACGTAGTGGAGGTTGCGGGGGTAGAATGTGTCCCAATTGTGGACGCCAGTAGGGAGCCAGGAGAACGGATAACGGCCGACCGCACTGAAGCGAAAGTAGACGAAGCAGACAACGTGCTTCATCACGCACCTCGGCGGTTTCACTGAGCAACGAGTCCAGTAATGCACGAATCACACTGGCGAGAAGAGATGCCTAGTCAATAGAAGGGAAAAAGGAACGGGAATAGTTTGACATCTTGACGTAAAATACCAAAGTTTGCAGATGACACTTGTAACACTTTTGAATATTCGCTTGATGGGGGTAAAAATTAGTAAAAAGCAATAAATTTTGTAATTTTTGTTCATAAAACGATTACTTTATTTCAGAATGGTTTCGTGAAATGGAAGATTGAGGAAAGTAAACGATGAAGATCGACTAATCAGATAAACCGCGCACAACGAAGGGAACAATAGAACAGTAAAAAAACAGCTGTGCGATCACAAGATGGTTTCCATATTTGGTCTGGAGACAAAACCTGATACTGACAGTCTATGATGTGTTTCGTTCTTCGTCCTTCCCACACATGTCTTATTTTCCCCACCCCATTGGATTTAGCTACTGTGCATGATTGTAAGTGATTGGGAACAAGCTTGTTGGCCATTCCGCATTTCATTAACAAAGTATTTTGTTAGACTACTCAAACGAATAAAATTATCGCTTTTTGAAATTTATTCAATGAAAATTTAACTCGCAAGAAGAGTCAGGATCTTAAGGTTTAGTATACTTGCAAAACCAAAAATCGATATGAACATTTCAAACGCCCGGAACCACCTAATCAACTCAGGTTAACGTAGGTATTGCGAAGAGACTGGTGCGTCGTTCGAATACCATGCACGGACAGTTCTGTTTTGCTGTACGTTGTGTCACGAATACCGGGGGTTATACCTACCAATGAGAATATCAACCGTCTCCCTAAACTAGCGCATGTTACTTGTCAAGCTTCTCTTGTAACAATATTTTTCATTTTAATTGTTCTATTCCATCGACGGCGAAAACAGGCATTATGCTATTCATAGTTATCTGCCTCCTACTGGATGTTTCTGGGCTATTCATGTTATTTTTTAAACAAAATTGGTGACTTGGTTGACACAAAAGGTGATCGGACCGCTGAATCACCGGTCAAGAGGTCAACACTCGATTCTTAAGCTCAAATGGTTTTGTTGCCTACTTGCCCAACTGTACACATTACCGCCCGAACTCCCCTTTTCTGACATGGTATTATCGTTCCCAATGGATTTCTTAGCAATATGGATCAGTCTGTTAATCCCTGCTCTAAGCAGGGATATATATATATATTTCTTCAATGGTTGAACTAAAGAATGATCAGACCGGCTGATTTGTCGAAAACTGTGGTTTTCACCGCATAGTCCGTTCAAAACGGAATATTGATTCAATACCGATTCCAGATGATCTAATTTTTACCGGTGCTCAGTAAATGCCCCAATCTGGTTTTCTCGAAGTGTGCAGGTTCAGCCGGGATTGTGTGAGATCCGCTGATCATTACCTACAAAATCTTCAGACGTTGGAAACATATAACTAAATCACCATTACCAACACAACATGCACCTCTATTATAAAAACCAAACAAACATCAACTGTCCCTGGGTGTACACAATCATGAATTAACGATGGACAATTTTTGTAATTCCTTTGAAAAAACTGGAACTTGATATTATTCAAAATTCGTCAAATGAGGTCAGAATTTTGTGCGTATTGCTCCATGCGGAAGAATGAATCACCACTAACGATGGCTGGNTCGAAGGAAAACTTGGCGTAGAATACGGCGGACTCGAACTGGGTCCCGTTTCATTCTCGACCACATCCATCGGACATGATGCTGTTTCATCTTCAAATTCGTTTGTGGACGTACTAGATGAAATGGAGGCACTTCTGCCCCGACGCAATGAGCTAGTACGGCGCGCTGAGGAGCCGGAAGTTGCGGTAGAAGGTCTTTTACGTGGAGCAGCCGCAGTGCGCTTTCCCGATCCGGTTTGGCCTGGAGTCTCGTTATCCTCAGGTGATGCGCCTCTCGGCTTAGAAATGAATAGCTCCTTACCGGTCGGTTCGGACGAAACAGATACCACAGAAGGTTGATTGAACACAGTCTTAATGAGCAACCGGGCACACTCCCGAGCCATATTCAGGGCA